ACCAACTCCCGCGTGTACGAACTGAAAAAGCTGTACTGGTTTCTGCGATTGTAGCATTGTGACAACGCATCTTTTTGGTTGATGTTGTAGGACACGAATTCCATTTGCCCGTTACAGCCATTCTAATGGCTCGTATCCGCTGCTGACCCGCAGCCCGGAGCCCTTTCGGTGAGCTCAGTACGCGGCAGCAGGAGACGAACAAGCATATGGTTACGGAGCCAGTATTGGGCTATGTGAGCTTGCATTTCACTTTCCCATGCTGCAGCCGATTCCTCACGTTTCATCTGGGACTGCCGTAGCTATCTTCAGTCTGCTCCTCTTCGTCACACGGCGATCGCCCTTGGTCATTACGCACTCAAAGGCCTTAAATCGGGGTATCTTGCCAGAATCACCTCATGAAAAGACCAGCCACAACTGCAGTTATCTTAGCTTGGTTCAGCCAACATCAAGAGACCACCTGGGCACTGATCGGAATCTTGACCAGAAAACTTCAGCAGTTCACGCAGCTCATGGGCGGTAGAGGTCAGCTTCGTCTACGTATCGGTGTAGTGAATAATTGTAATTTGCGAAACCAAACATAGTCGCATTTCATGCAGCTATAGGAGTGTTAATGGGACTTGGATTCCAATTAGACCGTGTTTGCTTATTTCCCTCCTTCCCACGCTGGAGACGCCTCCTCACATTCCATTCGATGTTTTTTCCAGTCCTTTTTCTGACACTGGACGGAACAGTATTGCACTTTCAAACAACGCATACACTTCTTCAATGCAGTACCATTGTTTCCTTGACTGGCGCCGCAACTTCGGCATCGCTGCGCCGATACAGCCAAGCCTGAACTTGCCATGCCCTTCAGTACCTCTAGATCCACAACCTGTTCGACAAAAGGCACCGCAAACGTCGGGCTAATAGCCAGCCGAGTCGCGAACTTGGCGGCTGTATCCCACTCAGGCAGGCTTATGAAGTTCTCCGGAAATTTCCCTGTGCCGCAGCTGCAGATGACCTGGGCTCCCTCCGTGGTACTGAGAGGAACCGTTGCTCCCGGCTGGGCATACTCACACTCGGTAGTATGGCTCCAGCTCCGGCAGCGCTCAACCAGCGCAGGCAGGGCTTTCTTCCATAGCAGAAGCTCTTCGTCATCGACCGTGATGGTGCAGCATTCCAAAGTGCGGAGTATAAGAAGAAATGACTCCAGCTGGCCGGATGTGATCACATCCAGCGTTAAAGGGATGACAGCGGCGTCGAGTGCAATGCTGCCATTGGCGCCGTCAAGACGGATAGCAGAGACAAATATCAGGATGTGGATCCCTCCCTTTTTGGGGTGATTGATGGCGAAGAGACCTGTTTGACCACCTTGCAGACCTGACGCAAGCATGAACATAGTAAAAAGCGACTCTTTGAAGTTGAGTCGTGCCGAAGGGGCGAGACCACCTTGGTTGGATCCAACGGTTTGTTCGCGCAGCTTGCGCTCATGTATAGAGAATGTCCAAGAGGCGAGCAGGGTGAGAAATCCAAGGTGTTCTTTGTCGGAGACGTCGATAATGGGAAGAGTGTCGAGATTCAAGTGCGGTATGTTAAGTGTAGCAGGTATGAGCAGGCCTGGGCTACAAGTAGAGCGGCATTCCGCCAACGTGGTTGGGAAAATGAAGTTATCAAGGCTTTGCGCCGTTGCTGGGTTGGCAATCGGCGCGATCACTTCAATATAGGCGGATGCTCGCGCGATACGTGTCTTGCTGCGGTCCTTGTCGATAGGGATTGGGAAGTAGAGATTCTCAACCATGTCTTTGGCTCCTAAGCTAATGTTGAAGATGAACGGCGAAAGTTGGCGAACGTCCACGGAGGCTTTATCGGCGAGAAGTTTCTTGCCCTCGGTGGACAAGATGTCGAGGTGCCCCGTTAGAGAATCGATGCGACCAGATGCGTCCAGATTGGCCGAAAAGTATGAGCTACACTCAGAATCCATGGCCTTCGCTGGCTGTGATGGGCAGAGGCTACCAAAGATAGGGGCACCAGCTTGACCTGGTGGGTTCTTGGTGATGTAGACCCTGTCTTCGTCTTCTAAGTCTGCATCACTGATCTGCAACTCCTCTCCAAGCTTCGCTTTGGCTTTGAGGGCCTTGATGTTTTGGAACGTATTCTGAACGCAGAGGGCCACTTTTGTGTTCTTCGGTTTTAACTGCACCGCAATTGTTGGCACGTAAAATGTTGCAATCATGGAAGACTCTCCAGCCCAACCAAGCTTGTCTTCCTTTATCGCGACCGAGAAATCTGGGCTGCCTCGCTCGCCAGATGGTTCAAGAACTCCAAACACAACTTGTACATCTGCGAAAAGGTTATGCCATTTGCTGCACGTCATGCTGCCCTCGACAGAGAAGCCGATCCTGCTTGCGAGAGCGGCCGAATAGACCGAATTCCATGAACTTTTCGGGACAACGAGAGTCAGATAGACACCCTCAGGAATCGTCGGCCATATCTCAAAGAAACCTGCATCAGGCCCCTTACGGATTGCCTCTTTCAGCCAGTCCTCACTGAAAAGCCCCTGTCTAGACATTTCCAGAGACATCGATTGCAAGAAATTAGAGCCGAATATTAGCGTTGAGTCCTTCGCAATCTTCTCCATCACCTTTTTGCAAACCATTTTGACATTTGTATCGACGACTTGGAGTAGATGTTTCATGAACGCCACGAGACTTCCACGATGGTATTTTGGGTAGGTTTGCTTCCTTATCGACTCCACTTGTTGATCTTGAGACAGGCTGAGAAGCGCCATCGGATTCTCACTGGCAAACATGCTCTGGTAGATCTGGTAGATCAGAGTTGCGAGCTCATCTTCTTTGACTTTGAGCTGCGTGTCTTTTTCCTGCCCGCAAAGGTGTGAGTTGCGCTTCCACACGAACCTCCACCTGATGAGTGGTGCAGTTTTAGCAACAGTGACGTCGAGCAAGTACTCGTCCACATTAGACGTCGTCGTGGCATTCGTCCAGTACTCCACGGCGCTGATGCCGAGAAGTGTTGACACCGTTTTTGTACGGCCACAAAGTATTTCATCAAAATTAGAGTTCTTCTCGTCTGTAGTGTTGCACATCGTTTCTGTATGGAGAGTTGCCCATGTAACATCCTTCAGCAAAGGAGTTGCGGAGACAAGAATATTCAAAGCACCGAAGTGATCGGATAGATTCGACGTGTCGATGACGTCGAACTTTTTTGGGGCTCCAGCGTTGGAGTACTCCACAAGGTCGAGCGTGAGGCATTCAGGACTGAGATTCCGCCGGTAAAAGTTCGCAGAAGTCTGGCCTGTGGCAATATGATGCTGAAGAGTGTGGCACAACGCGAAAGCGTCTGCGGTAGTAAAGCGTATGATAAGATCGCCATGAGCCAACTCAATAAATGCCTTAGTCCAATCTGAAAATTGGAGCGCCGCGGTGGCGCTCAGACTCGGTATAGACGAGGACACATTCACCTCCGGCAGCTTCATTGGTGATGCTTCGGAGAGATGCGCCATCGCTGCTGCGAGATGAAAGGACAAAATAGGATTGGACCCATGGTGTAATACCGAGTTCTTCGAGAGGCTAACGGCGAAAAGAGGATTCGGATTCTGCATTTTCTTGGTGGCGCTGTCTGTTGTCCCCTTTTCCCACCAGGTGTCCAGGATAGTCTTCAGCTCATCACCCATCATGACCTGCATTCCCAGAGGGGCGGCTGCCCGTGCACCCCAGTATGCCAAAGATCCATCCCCGGCGGTTGCATTTCTGTACTCTGTTGAGCTCTTCAGTGCGTTCTCGAAATCGGACCGGTAACGCTCGCTGTCCTTGTCTGTGAGTGCTCCGGCATACTTTGCCCAGATCTCCCGGACTGACTGCAGCGTCATACCATCACTGAAGTGGAACTTGCTCCCGAATTTGCAACTCCTCCACTCATCAAGCGAGTTAGAAAAGGCCAGAAGCTCATGGATGTGATTGTCGAGGACCTGAATAGCTTCATCATCGAGAAAGAGGTTGTAGTACGTGGCCCAGATAGTACGCGACGGTGTGGTCTGACCATGCGCCACCATGAGGGTTAATAGAAGAACGTTGCGAGCTACAACTCGTCAGCATTCTTGTGCGAAGACGTGATAAGAGGTGCAAGGGGCAGCAGCCATACCGATGATCGCCTCCTCGACATCGCAGGCTGTGATGTCCAACTTCCGGGCAGCTGTTATTTCAAAGAGTAAGCTTTTTTTGATTCATGTTGAGATTGTGTAAAACTCACGAAAGCCTTTCTCCGAGTAGGCAGTGTACAGGATATTCCTCACATCACCGCAGCCCAAGAGCAGAATATCGGCGTGCACGCCTTGTGGGATACAGCGCGTAAAGCTCACAGCTGGCGTGTTTCCCACGGCATAGAAAGGAGTTGTTGCACTGAGGACTGTTGGTGTGAGCATCGTCGACGGATGTTGCCTAGGGACGATAAACGGCCTAGGGGGAGGAACAACATGGATTTTTTGGGAAATGAAAGGTGAAATTCACTTAAGTTTGGTAGGACGTCGACAGACTGAGGCTCTCAAACGTAACAGGGATGGCTGGAGCCAACGGCAATTGGTCTTCCCTGCAACCCCAACCCTATCGACGTCGATTTTACTTGCATGGTTATTGGGACGGAGACGTGCTATGTGAGGGCACAATGCGTAAGTCACTGGCAAAAGGCTCAGCTTTTCGCAATGTATTGTAGATCTAAAAGACTGTAGCTAAAGGGAGGGGGGAGGGGACAACAATACAGGAAGGTCTCGCCGTGTTGTCTCGCATTTGAGTCGGCATATAGCAAGAGGCTAATGAAATACCTAATATGAACTACCAAGAAGAAGAACTAGCAGAGGTCAGGGCCCCGCGTGCTATCCAGCCGCCGCGAGCCTCCATAGAAACGCTGAGGAATATAGCAACCTATAGACCACTTTAGGCAAAAGGAGACAAAAAAAAAACATAATCAAGTGGACAATCTGTCTAACCTGTTTAGAAAACAAAAAGCATCGATCGAGGTGGGACTCGAACCCACAACCTCAGGATTGAAAGTGACTCGCTTTGAATAGGAGTCCTCTACAAACGATATTAGAATTGGCTAGATCACATTGCGGATACTCGGTCTGAACTTACACACGCTACCATTGCGCCACCCGACCAGATTTGGTTGAAATAAAAGTGCAAAATGCAAACTCATGTACTGAGCCAGGATGAGTGTTAGAATCAAAGATAGGAATTGTCACCGAACCTTGTATGCAGGCGCAAGGGCACAATTTATCGTGCTACTTGTGAGTTTTTGCCGTTAGCGAAAGAAGGAAAGAGCCAGACGGCCTGCGGCTGCAGCCAGGAGGAGTCAGCCAGGGGGCTTGCTCACCTTGATATCAACAAGGGAGGGCTAAGGTCCGAAAGGTCCATAACCATGCCTGCAAGGATAGCCGTCACAAGGCACATGAATGTCAAATCCTCTATAAGTCCAAACACTCATGCTGTTGCTTTGATAGTGTACGGTAAAGAGATTGAGTTCTTCGCGAGACATATGGACTCGGGTAAAAGTGATCATCAAATGTAGTCGGTTGCCAAGCGCTGGAACTCCCAAGTAATCGGGCCAAAGTAGAAATTTCGCGTCTGTTCTGAATAGTTGACATATTTGTACATGTCATTATCCAAACCAGTCTCTCTCACTGATTGAATCCTCACAGGCCACACAAACACCTTCTCCCCAGATCTCGCACATTATCAACAACCTACTTAGGTAATTATCTCATCATAGCTCCTTCTGCCCGCCCACCACGGCCTTCTCCTCATCCACACTGATCTCTTCACCTACATCTACCACACCGTCCGAATGACCTCTCAGCCCAATATCCGTCTCTGTGAACGCATCCGCCGTGTCTCGATATGCGGGCACAAAATTCACCGCTATAGCATAAGTCGCAGCTGCAATAAAGAAAGCCATCGGTACCACCATCGCCAGCGCAGTTCCATGCATGTCCGCCACCGCGCCGGTTAACGGTGGCACGCATGCGCCGCCAAACACACCTCCAACGATGAAGCCACTTCCCCTTTTGGTATGTCGTCCTAGCCCGCGCATCCCGAGCGCCACGATGGTGGGAAAGATGATACTTTCGAAGAAGAGCGTTAGGTACAGCATTGACATGCCCGTATTACCGCGCTGGGTGATGGAAGGCCCGATGAAGACAATGCACATGCAAAGGTAGAACAGGAACACCCAGCGCGGCTTGATGAAGTGCATAATGCCGACGCCTACAAAACGGCCGATGGAGAAGGCGCCCTGCGCTCCAGCGAGGAACTGAGAGCCGAGTGCGGAGTCGGTGTTGGGCCGTGTTTCTGTCACATAATTGATAAAGTAACTGTAGTCGTCATCAGCACGCGCCTCATAATACAGTCGCGAAGAACGAGACCATTCACCTCGCAATAGCAATTTGTGCTCCGGTATAAGCAAACTGTGCAAACGACGCATGGAAAAGCCGGTATTGCTTCCAGAATGGTTTGGCGTTATCTGCGCTCGCGTGCGACTCCTCGGCCTGGAAGGCCATATCGGCATCGGTGATTTCAGGAATGGTCGAAAAAAAGAAGACAATCGCCAATAGAAAGACGAACACCGCGATCGACAGGTACACCCATTGAACATTCTGCAGTGCCTTGGCATCACCGAAGTTGAAGAAGACGTACGAGCCCAGTACCGGCGCGATCACCGTGCCAATGCCATTGAAGGCTTGCGAGATGTTGATACGCATCTCGGAGTATTTCGGTGGTCCGCATACTACACATCTCGCGCATTAGTTGGGCTCAAGCAGACGGTCCTCCATCGCGGGCTATCAAGACAAATGACCGGACATGAGAGACAATGCTCCTCACCTGTGATGTACGGATTAGCCGCTGTCTCAAGCGACCCCAATCCATTGCCAATGATGAAAATGCAGGCACAAAAGCCACCGAAGCTGCGGTGGATGATGGCAGGGATAGCAAGCAAGGCACCGACGCCATATAGGCAAAGTCCCCAGATGAAAACGGCCCTATAGCTGTAATGCCGCAAGATCCAGGCAGCGTGGCCCAGCGAGGCAATCGGGTATGCACTGCGCGTGTCATTTAGCCACAGAAAAGCACAGACGTTCCAAGTCGGCAGATAAGAATTCAACAGGCAATCGATACTAGGAAGGATATCTCTTACCCGAAGTAGGCCGCTTGGAGACCTGAGGACCGAGCCTTGGTGATGCCAAGGGTGTTTTGGAAGTGCTTGTTGAGCGTGTCGAGAAGACCGTAGGAGAAGCCCCACAGGAAGAAGAGGATGGTAACGAGGCAGATGGGATACAGTGACTCTTTGAGTGTGAGCTCCGCAGCTCGGGTGCGCTTCTTGTCTGATACCCGGAGGGACCGGTTCTTCCAGAATGAAGAGGAGGCCATATTCGTGAGTTCCTGTTGCGTTATTTGGCTCACATATGGGGATGACAGACTCGCGTGCCGGTAAGTAGATGTGAGATTCTCAAATCAGGACGGCCCCTCGCAGTCAATCGCGCAGCAGAGACTGCAGGGCATGAATCTTTTTGAGGGCTTCGGGCTATCTTATAAACCTTCTACCCCAATCCTCAACACACCATGCATTCCAATTTCGGTCCTTCTCCTGCATTGACAGCAGCAGGTTTTCCACAAGTTGCCCAGGAGCCCCCAGACTTCCCCAGATTTTCACCCCAGACGCCTACCCCTCTAGTCATCCCTATCACCCAATAGCCCGTCGGGCTAAGTGGGGGTGTGTCTGGGAACTTTGTCAAGGTCACGCAGCACTTCGTATGCCAGAGACCCGTCGGAAACTTCGCGTATGCGGGGAACCTGGCGCCAGCACACTCGAACAGCATAATGGTCTAGGCAGCTTTGACCCGGCAGCGAGAATATAAATTGTTCCGGGAATACTTAATGGAACACATACCGTAGACAATTGGGCAACCTTCAGGGGACAAGCCTCCTACGAAAGAGGCTCTTGTGGTATGTGTTATTGTCGCACCGCTTCATTGCACGCAGACTCGCTTGTCCTGTGTAGTAGTAGCTGGGAAGCCAGCCCCCTTAACGCCCCAGGAACCCGTGGACCTCACAGTGGGTCGACCTCGGCGAGATACCACCTGCTAGCTTGCCTGGCACAGTTACATTTTTGAATGTAGGTTGGCGGAATATGGGGCCGTAAAGTAGGGGCCTGCAGATTGCGGCTGGCATAGAAGTACAAGGTACAAATGAAGTGGCGCGCAAAACCCTTTGAAAATGGGTTGAGGAGATATGGAAATGGGTGTCGCGCACGAAATCTGTATCCAGTTATATCCTGGCAACACTACAGGTTTACCATAGTGTGAAGTTGGTTCACGCCGTCCCGGTGTTCTGGGACGATACGCTCGCGGGGATGTGACGATGTGACCCCAATCTGCTTAGGGCCTGGTACCACGGGAGTTTCCCAGCATGACCACCAGATTGATCAGTTTCCCTGCCACCTCTGCGCTTCTATGTAACCTGGTGTTCGATCTGAAACATGCAGACATGTAAGCCCGCGGGACTTATTAGGTAGCATTGGCTTACCTACCTAGATGGGTATTCAAATTTTTGTGGCAGCACACAGGGTAAATCACCCTCCACAGGATAAATGCATGTAGTGACACATCATGGCATGTCGCCCAATCACACTCGATTATTTTATCATATCTCATTAGGGATATAGACAGATGTCCGGGCCATAAAAATAAGTGATTTGTTCTTCACTGGCATTCTACTTGCAGTCGCAGTGGTGGAAACGACGAAATTGTTTAAAATTCTCTGGGACTAGATGCTTGAGACTACTATGAAGAACGTACGTTGAGCTTTTTGCCCCAATACCGACCAGGCTCATACTTAAGAAACTCCCTTAGGATCACCTAGAGTCTCGATGAAACGCTCCCTAAGACCTTGCTATGGTCTATCGAAGGGCTTATTACCGTCACAAAGGGAGGCCTTTGGCTTAGCCTGCATTATTCGATTACACTTCACATGGGAAGTTGCTATGGCTGCCTTAGAACTCCAATTGTTTCGAGTCCAATATAAGGTCCTTGTAAGTCATATAATGGTGAAGTCAAGACCATGGACAGTATATTGATTAAGGGCATCAAGCTGGCCTTCCACTTGTCTCCTCGATGGACGTCTTGATAGTGACCTGGAGGGAGACTCAGTCATCCGAGTGTTGTGACTTTAGTCGAATATGATGCATTGGGCGAATATCAGTCTGAATTCGTTTCTACTAGAAAAGAAGTGGCGGTCTTTTCCCCTCTGCAGAGGTGAGATTTACCCTACCTAAGGTGGGTACCAGGCTTCGCAAAGTCATTGGACGAGCCGTATTCAAGACCGACTGCTGGCGTTAATGACTTTAAGCTTATTGCACTCTTGCGTTACCTGCACCTCCGAAAGATGGAGGTATGGTAGATATTCAGACAAACCAAGGGTCCTGGAGACGCACCTGGATATCATATCCAAACCCTGAATTGAATATCAAATGACTTTTCATCTTTGTTCGTTGAGAAGCTAATCGGAGTCTCCGCAGCGTTTCTCAAGTAGCATTCAAGTCTGGATAGATTCTCCGTTGAAGTTCCAGCTCATTGGGTCTCAGGTGACGATTAGCCGCCCAGCGAGGTGAACATATCGTGCGGGCAGACCAATCACGATTCATGAGCGGGCTCCCCCTGTAGTCGTCACTATCACGCAGTGTGGGACGACCAATATCACGTACAAGGTTCCAAAATTACCTGTTGGGGCCATCTGCGGTCTAAGTCGTGGGATCTATTCGGATTGGGGTGCGCGCCCAGGCGTATCAGAACTCGGGTGGATCGCGAAGCCACGCTCGGAAACGAGCCTGGTGACTACTATTGGACTGACGTGAGAATATTGGGGCAAGCAGATGGACTCGCCCAAAAGGACCAGAAATCCCTCCTATCGAGCCAAGCAGATACATAAGGGACATATAAGATATCAAAGTCCCATCAATATGGATCCATTATGCAGTCCGTTTCACGCCGGGAAAACACTGCAAATCTCATCACCATGAAGAGCCAGATTTCACTCTCCCTGCTGATAATATTTTGTTCACAGACCTTCGTGCAGTCCCTTCCTTCACTGCAACGAAGATCATGTG